AAATTGTCAAAGGCCTTCTGGGCTTCAAGGAAAACCAGTGAAACCTGTTTCTCTGGGTGGACTTCGTAGAACTCTAAAATATCAATTATAATCCGTAAATTATTTTTAATCTATCGGCCAGGCAAAAAGCCATTTTGGTCTGGGTGTGTAAACTTATCTAGAATTGTCTTTAACCTTGCAGCAATGATTGACATATATATTTTGTAATCGGAGTTTAATAGTGAAATAGGCCTATAATTTTGTACCAATTGCTGATCTGAATCTTCCTTGTGTAATTAAGGCTTCTGTCCATGTTTGGGGAATATTGGATTGTTGTAATGCTTCATTAAATATTTCCATCATTAGTCCTCCTGTCTGTTTTTGTGTTATCATGTATAGTTCCACTGGTATTCCATCTGGTCCAGGTGTTTTATTGCTTTTTTGCCTTTTTATTGCAAATCCAAATTCTATTTCCGAGATTGGTCGATTTATTGCATCTTTCTGTTCCTCCGTGAGCTTACCTATGGTTAGTTCCTCTAAATATGTTTTAATTTCTGATTCTATTATTTCTTCCTGTGTATATAGTTTGAAGAAAAAAGTATGAATTATTCTTTTCTTAACTTCTTTTTTGTCTTGGGTTTTCCCTTCCTCATCTTTTAAACATTGTATCATTCTTTTATCCCTTTCCTTTTTTAGTTTGTAGGCAAACCATCTGCTTACTTTGTTTGCATGTTCAAAATAATTTTGTTTAGCCATCCTTATTTTCATAGCAATTTCCTCTTGGGTTATCAAATTTAGTTTGTGTTTAATCATTCTCCAATCCTCTTTTACTTTTTTATTTTGAGGGTCTTTCTGTAGAATTCCTTCTAATTTTCTAAGTTCTTCCTGTAATTTATTTTGTTGGGACTGTTTCTCTTTTCTTTTCTTTGCCATATATGCGATCGTCAGTCCTCTAATGTATGCTTTCAATGTATCCCATAAATTTTGGGTTGATGTGTCCTCTTTCTTATTTATTCTTAGGAAGATCTCTAATTCTTTTTCTAAGAACTGCTTAAATTCTTTCTCTTTACATACAGTTTGATTCAAAGTCCATCTCTTATATCATTTCTGTCTCTTCCATTGAATAATTATGGGGTTATGGTCGGCCCATTCATTTGTTCCTATATCTATTTTTTTTAATTCTAACTGTAGTTGTATTGTCATCCAGGCCATATCCATCCTGGACCAGGATTGATGCGGATGCGAAAAATATGTATATTGTCTTTCTTCTTTGTAGATTTCTCTCCATGTATCCCTTAAACTTAGTTCTGCTACCATGTTGAAAAATTCCTTAGGAAGTGTTTCCTTTTTTAAAAAAATTTCTTATTGCTGTAATAATCTCTTTTACTGTCAACTATAGCGTTATAGTCTCCTATCATACATACATTTTCTATCTCTTGTTCCAATATTCTATTATGTACTTTTTTGTAATATTCCTGTTGATTTTTGTTTGGGGCATATACTACTATCAATAGAATTTGTTTATGTTCCGTATTTAGTTTTATCATTAAAATTCTACCCTCCTCATCTGCATAAACTAATTCTGAATTTATTCTTTCTTTTACATAAACTGCTATTCCTCTTTTTTTCTGTTGCGATAACAATACATATAGTTTTCCTAATTTCTTATTTTCTAATAATTTTTGAAATCCTATTTTTATATGAACCTGCTGCAAGCAAATCATGTCAGTGTTTAATTTTTTTAATTTTGTAAATATTTGTGTCCTCTTTTTCTGTGCATTTAAACCATTGATGTTCACGGAAAATAGAGATCTTGCCTCTTCCATCTACTGTGCCTGTTTTTTGGTGTTTCTGGTCTCCCTTTTTACTCTTCCTCTTGCCCCTTCTTTATCTTCTCGTTCTCTTTCTTGGGTTTTCTTAAGTTCTTTTTCTCTTTCTATCTCTTCTTGTTGATCCTCTTCTTGACTTTTACTTTCTGATTCGTCCTTGCTTTCTTGCTCTTCTTCCAGGAAGTTTTTATAAAATTCTTCAGCTTTTTCTATCGAATCAAATTTATATTTCTTGTCCTGCCATGTAATTATCCTTCAGGGATAATCCATCTAAATATTATTTTATATTTAATGAGGTGTGATGTTAAGAAATGGTATTGTTGTCTTTGTTCTCGAATTCTTCGTGGGATTTGTTTTAGAATTATGATTTCCTTTCCTTTGTATGTAACCGTCTCTTCCCTTGATTTTTTATAAATTTCATCTCTCATTGTTTTTTTCGTGAATCTTATATGTACTTCACATGCTAGATGGTGCCTTCCTATGTAATTGTTGTGGACTCGGTAAATTTCATCTACGGAGTCTCGTATTTCCAATTTGTCTCTGTATTAAATCTGCAATTATTTCAATCATTTTCTCCCCCAAATTCTCCTCTTTCTCCTCCTCAACATTCTGGAAGTGCAAGAAAAATGAGGCTTTCTCCATTTCCAGGAGGATAATCGAATCTGATAATTCTTTGTTCAATTGCAGTGTCTTCTGCTTTGCCCTTTCTAATTTATAATCTAGTTGGTCTACTTTAGTTTCTATTTTTTTCTCTTTCCGCTCATTTTCTGCAATTGTTTGTTGAATATCTTGCATCTTTTCCTTCTGGCAAATTGATTGCAGAAGATAACTCGCGAAAATGCAGGGCGGCTTTTCACAAAAAGGGCTCCTTTCCAGGAATTAGTTGGGTTTTCGAGAGCTATCACTCACACCCTCACCCACTCCGCTCAGACATCACCGCTGGAAGCCAGGAATACTTTCAATATGTAATTTTTGCACCTTTTGCCTCAGATCATGCTTTCTTTTCGCTGCTATCAGTTCATGCTCAATAAAAGTACCTTTCTCTACAAACATGGAGTTGGGGTTTTTCTTCCTTGAGTTTTGAATGGGGACACACCTGACATTTCCATTTGAGAATTATGGAGGCCACTGGGCTCTTAGGGAGCTTCAGTGCAGCAGAAATTTTATTGTAGCCTTCCCCAGGTCTGTGCCTTGCAATAATCCTGTCTCTGAGCTCTTCAGGCAGTTCCTTTGACCTCATGGCTTTTGCTCTACTACAGTATGCATTGTCAGTGGTGATGCCTTCTATAGTGAGGTGTGTGCCTTTCCAAATCATGTCTGTTCAATTTAATTTACCACAGGTGAACTCCCAAGGTGTAGAAACATGTCAGCAATTATCAAGAGAAATGGGAGGCACCTGAGCTAAATTTCAAGTATTGTTGCAAAGAGTCTGAATACTTATGCCAATGTGATATTTCAGTTTTTTCTTTTTAATAAATTTACAGACATGTCTAAAAGTTTGCTTTCACTTCATCATTATGGGGTACTGAGTATAGATTATTGAGGAAAAAAAAGAATTTCAACAACTGTAAAATCAGGCTGCAGCATAATAAAATTGACAGAACTGAAAGGGGTCTGAATTAGGGGTGAAATGCTCCCGGTTCAGACCGGATCACCTGATACTGTAGCGATGGCGGCAGATGGTTCAGAGAACCGGTAGCAAAAATCCCTACACCCCCCCCCCATGCCCAGCTGAGCCGCAAGATCATCCGAGGCTGTTTTTTTTACTTTTAAAAGCATTTTTTTCCTACAACCTCTTTGGCCGAAAAAATGCTTTTAAAAGTAAAAAAAAAAAAGCCTCGGATGATCGTGCAGCTCAGCTGGGATCGTCAGAGGCTTCTAAAAGCATTTTTTTCTACAATCTCTTCGGCCGAAGAGGTTGTAGAAGGATGTAGGGGGGAAAAATGCTTTTAAAAGCCTCTGGCGATCCCAGCTGAGTTGCCTCATCGTCAGAGGCTTCTAAAAGCATTTTTTTCTGCAACCTCTTCGGCTGAAGAGGTTGTAGAAAAAATACTTTTAAAAGTTAAAAAAAAAAGTTGGCCATGCCCACCCAGTCACATTACCCCCCTACCAAGCCATACCCACAGATCTCACCCCTGTCTGAATACTTTCTTATGACCCAGGTGGTCAAGGTTAGGCAGGCCTCCAGAAAGTTATTTATTTCTCTTGGGAATGGTTAAACAAATGGCCTTCCACCATCCTGTAAGGCTCAACCCTCAGTCCCCCAAACAGCAGCCCATAGATTAGCTGGCAAGTCCACAAGACAAAAATCCAGGCATAAGACAAGGACAGTTTCGAAGGCAAAGTCCTCAGGGCTAGGGAAAGACAAGAACTGTCTTCAAAGCAAGGCAAAAACAGTGTTCAAGGCAAACAATGTCCTCGACATTCAAAGCAAGGCAAAAGGTCTGAGTCAAAGCCGGGGGAGTGTAATCCGAAAACAAACACTTGTTCCTAGCAAAAGCCCCCCCTCACGGTGTTTCCTTAAATTCTACTCTTTAGGTGAACTTCATGAGGAGGGATGGGGCATCCTCCTCCCAAGTAGTCAGTTCGCCCTGTACTGACTCTGCCTTCTTTCCATTCTCTGTGCTCAGGGATTGAGCAGGGGAGGCATTTGCTTGTTTCTGAAGCACTGCTGCTCCTGTGCTCCGCTGCCTGCCTTCCCCCCTTCCTCGGTCAGCCTGTACCCGCTCTTCCTCCCTGTGTACTTTTCTGAGGCTTGAGGGACCCGGGACTCCCTAGTCCTCATCCCCAGGTCATTCCTCATAGGCTATAGGGACTGAGATTAAAGGGGGAGGGAATCAAATGGGAAGCATGCAGTTCTAGTTCATATTTTCACATGATTAACATAAAAATGATTAAGCATTTTTCCTAAATTATACTACGTATTAAAGTATAATCTGCATATATTCACTTTATCCCAAAAATATTTTTATTTTTTCTTTGCCTATTACAGCATGGTTAGCATGCAGAACTTCACTTCTGTTTTCTTCTGTTTCACGCTCCACATGACTGGAAAAACATTTTATTACTTTGAAAAAATAACCTAGAATAAAGCACAAGTATAGGAGCAGAGATAGTATGATATCTGTGTGTTTTGAAGTAATAGCTATGCTTTTTATTGCAATATTTAACCTTTGAACTGTATTTTCTTAGAGCTCTTAATTGATGATCTATAACTGAACTTCTTGATATTGTCCCACTGACCTGTGTCTTTTGGAAATGGAGCCAAAAGTTGGCAATTGTACATCTGGCTTCCAACGAAGTTCAACATCAGATGATGATTCTGGGTGTGCCTTAGAAGAATATGCCTGGGTTCCTCCAGGTCTTAGACCAGAACAGGTATGGGCAACTATTAATCAGCTTATGTTTCAACTGCATATTCCAAAAGTAATTTTGTACTTAGGTTACCTTGATCTTCATTTTTTTCATATAAATTGTGGACAAAAAAAGCAATATCCTTAAAATCTGTTTTTATTATTTAGGTTTTATATGATAGCATTGTCATGATTAAAAAAGATAAGTAAACTTTGAAGTAAGATAAGAAGAAAACCAAAAGACAATAACACAATCTTCCCCAGCAACCAATAGCCAGATAAACAGGGATTAACACCATGCAAACAGTAAAACAGAAAACAGTACATAATCAAGGAATTATCATGGAGGAAATCACACCCCCATCAAAAGTGGGCAAACTATTGTACTGAATTGTAAGTAGGGAATAAACCAGGGATGAAATGCTCCTGGTTTGGTCCAGTTCGCCCGAACTGGTAGTAAAAAAGGCTACTGGTTCGCTGAACCAGTAGTAAAAAATGTAAAAAAAAAAAGTTCCGACGATCAGCTGAGCAATGCACGATCGTCAGAACTTTTTTTTTTTTTACTTTTTAAGCATTTTTTTTTACTACCAGTTCTCTGGAACCAGTAGTAAAAATGCTTTAAAAAAGTAAAAAAAAAAGGCTCTGATGATCACAGCTGTGCTGCGTGATTGTCAAAGCATTTTTTTTACTTTTTAAAAGCATTTTTTACAATCTATTTACCCGAATAGGTTGTAAATTTTTTTTTAAGTAAAAAAAAAAACTTGGCCACGCCCACCCAGTCTTATTACCCCACCACTAAGCCACGCCCACAGAACCAGTAGTAGCAAATTTTACATTTTACCACTGTAATAAACCACATATTCACTCACACTGATGATGTTTCCTGGTTGGGTAATGAAAGCCTGCAAGCAAACAACCAAGCTCAGCATCAAAGCATCAAACCTTTCAACTCTGAGCTACATATATTCTCTTCATATCAATTAAGAAACTATGAGCATCCTAGACCAAGCTAAATCCAAGAAATTCCTAGAAGCTGGCATTCAGACAAATGAACTATCAGTAGATATATATAAATAAACCGTATTTCCACACCATTCAAGAGACAATAAAAAGGCTGAGAAGGAAAGAAAAAGATCAGAACGCATCCTTTCCAGCAGCGAACACCCAAATAAGTAGGGATTAACACCAGGCAAACAATCAAACAGAAAAGCATATACTTATCAAAGAGAAAACCATACTCCTACCAAAATTGGCAGGGCAAGTTATTGTATATATAAACAGGGAGCAAACCCCATACTTAGTTGGGCAATGAGACCAAACTCAGGGCAAACCAAGGTGTCAAGAGTGATTTGCTCTTTCACCTAGTTGCTTCTTTGCTCTCAGCTTGACAACAGTTGGGAAGAGGGTGGTTGGAATGTTGGGGAGGGAATGGAATGCCAAGACTCTGTCTGCAGATCGTGAGACCCTGCTGCCAGCCCAAGATCATACAATGCAGGTGCTTGAACTATCCGGACTGTTCCCATAATAAAAGAAACAGATTTATTTAGACAATGCAATGAACTGAGGAGGAATGGCCAAATGGAAAAACAAGTTAACTGTGGGATTCTGTGCAGGAAAACCAGAGCTAGTTTCACTTCTTCTATGCCAATGTAGTGTATTCAATAAATTTTTACTTTTGGGAAGCACAATGTCCCAGGAGTTCTCTTTTTGGATTCTCTAGCTGGACACCTGACATTAAACCAGCTCTATAAACTACTGCTTACCTGGAATCTTCCAGGAGAACTGAGATAACGAGATGTCAGCAGTCAACAAGAAGACAGATGACAGGGTGAAGTTGGGAGAAGCCCCCCTCTTGGAGGCACCAACAGTGGATTGGAAGCCAGCCAATCAGGGCACGCTCTAAACTGGGACCCAAAAAGTTGGAGCAGCGACCCATATTTGGAGAAGAGGTGGTTTCAGAAGCTTTCTGGTCTAAGAAAAAGGAGCCATGAGCAGGCAGCATGGGAAAGGCAGCAGAGACAGAATACCCACTGATCCCTCACGGAGTTACATTGATCCGAGGAAGCAAGTGGAAAAGCATGAGAGCCGCCAAGTGGGAAGAGCTGATGGGATGGAGGTTCCTGATCGTGACCTGCAGCTTATCAATGGAACAGCTCAGAAGTTCGGTGGGCTGGAGATCTGAGGCTCCACCTCACCAAAGTCGATGATGACAGGGGCTGGGATGGGGATGGCCAAGCCGCTAGTTACCTCATCCCCTCCTCTATTGCAGTCAGTATGTTGAACCTACCTGGAGCAGTGGGTACCACGCAGCAAGGGGCAGAGGCAGCCCCCCTTTGGCAGGTCTGGCACAAGCCCAGTCACCTCTCATGGCGACGGGAAGCCCTGCACAGGTGCCACCAGGCTTCGTGTTGGTACAATAGGACTGAGAGCCTCCTCCCTTGAAGGCAAAGTTTGATGGCCAGCCCGAAAAGCTGGCCATCAACACAGGTGTGGAAATATTTGGAGTGGTACAGAGCAATGTATCCCAACGTGCCCTCCCATGTAAATATTGTCACATCGACCCTGGAAGGAGATGACACAGAGTGGCTGGTGTGACTTCACAATGAGGACACCCCAGAGCTGATGAATGTGAACGCCCTTATGCAAGAGATGTGGTACAGATTTGAGGACGCCATGGAAACCCAGCGAGCAGAGGCCAGGATCCGCTCCATTCGGCAAAGGAAGTGACCAGTCACAGAATACATTCAAGAATTTTCCAGCTTGGTGGCCTGCCTGAGGGAATGGCCTGAGCCCCTACTGATCTACCAATTCCAGGATGGTCTGAACCGAGAACTGTACCACAACTGCTTGCCCTGAGGGGTGCCTAATGATCTTTGGGCATAGTACCAACTGGTCACCAACGTGGAGCTAGACCTGATGGAGCAGCATGCTGTGCATGAGGATTGCCCCCACTGGACAACCAAGAGGTGCTCTGCAACCCTTGGAGGAAAAGGAGGTTCTCCTCAGATCCCCAAGAAGAAGCCCTGCCGTGTGTTGAGAGCCTGTTTCCGATGCAGGAAGAAAGGCCACTGAGAGGCTGACTGCCCCACCCCACATCCAGCATCTGCATTGCGAGCCTTGGCCCAACCAAAGAAGCCGCCAGCAAAGACAAAGGAGAAGATGCAGGCAGCACAGCAGTTTGTAGAGGTCTCTCCACAGTCCAGCAAAGGAGAGGGAACTCTAATCCCCAAAATACCAGACATGATCTTCTACAAGAGTGACAGCGAAGAGGAAGATGACCTGATGGTAAGTGACACCATCATTCCAATGACTGCCAGGGTGGAGATAATGGTGCCTTACTCGGGAATGAAGGACATCATCATGGCCTATTAGACTCAGGGTGCATCCAGTGCCTAATCAGCTTGCCGAGAACAGAGAAGTTGGAGCTAAGACTCAGGAAACTGAGGTGACCTGTGGGATTTGAACAACTAGACAGTTTCCTTTTGGGGGAGTGGTGCCAGTGATCTATCTGACAGAGCCAGTGAGCCTAAGGCTTGGGAACCACATGGAGACTATCCACTTTTATCGTGGACCCCAGAATGACTGAGGCCATGATTCTAGAGCTAGTCTGGCTAAAGAAATGGAACCTAGCAGTGGACTGGGAGAACAAGTGGCAAATGAAAAAGAAAATGGCTAACAGGAAATAGGGAAAGCACCAGGTGCCAGCGATGAGCTGGTGGTTGGGAAAGTGAAAGCAGAGCTGGCTAAGGTGCTGACAGAGGGCAAAGCATTACAGCTGCTTATTCGAAAGGAGTACTGTAATCTTGCTGAAGTGTTTAGTGAGAAGGAGTTGGATGTGCTGCCGCCCCCTCACAGACTGTGCTATTGAAATTCTGCAGGGGGAAAAACTACCAAAGCCAGAGATGTATTCCATGATGCCCAGGAAAATGGAAGAGCTTTATAGATAAGAACCTAACCAGGGGCTTCATCCAGTTGGCCAAATCAAGGGTGGCAGCCCCTGTTCTCTTAAAAAAAAAAAAAAGAGTCGGGTCCCTGAGAATGTGTGGATTATAGGGGGATAAACGCCATTTGCATGGAGGACATGTACCCCATCCCCCTGATGAAAGACATGTTAAATTACTTGTCAAAGGGGAAGCTGGACCTGAGGGAAGCTGGACTTGAGGGAAGCATTCTACTGAGTGAGGATTAGGGAGGGAGATGAGTTGAAGACCATGTTCAACTGCCTCTTAGGATGCTACCAATTCCAGGTGATGCAATTTAGATTACAGGGGAACCCAGCTGTGTTCATGCAGCTGATAAAGTCCTACATGAGCACTTATACAAAGGGGTACTGGTGTACTTGGTGATATTTTAATTTATACCGAGAACACAGAAGAACATGTAAAACCAGTAAGAGCTGTACTAAGGAGTTGCTAAAAGCCTTGCTATACACAAAACACATCCAAATGTGACCTTCACAAGACCAGCTTAGACTACCTAAGGTACCATATCTACAAAGAGGGGGTTAGAGATGGACCCAGAAAAGGTGAAAGCAATCCTGGGAGGCCCCAAGGACCAGAACACAGCTGCAGAGTTTCCTAAGATTTGTGAACTTCTATAGACAATTCATTCCCACTTTCACACAAATAGCACTGCCCATCACAAACCTGTTAAAAACGGGGAAGGTGGTGAAACCTAGACGAAGTCAGCCCTTGAATTGGACTGTCGAGTGCCAAGCAGCTTTTAAAAAGCTAAAGAGACGTTTTGTCTCTGAGCCAGTCTTGAAACACCCGAACCCAGAGGAGCCATCGGTGATCCAGGCAGACACTAGTGACGTGGCCGTGGGGGCAGTGTTATTGCAGAGGAATAAAAGGGGAAAACTGCAGCCTTGTGCCTATACTTCTTGGAAACTGTCCAACACCTAGAGACAATGGACAATCTGGGAGAAGGAGGCTTATGCAGTCTGCTGGGCTCTCCTTATATCTGGAGGCAGTTCTCAGAAGGCAGGAAAATCCCATTTTTATTTTATTTTTTTAAATTTGATTTATATGCTGCCCTTCTCCGGAGACTCAGGGCGGCTTACAGTGCGCTAAGCAATAACCTTCATCCTTTTGTATATTTATACAAAGTCAGCTTATTGCCCCCACAAACTGGGTCCTCAATTTAGAAAGGATGGAAGGCTGAGTCAACCTTGAGCCTGGCGAGATTCAAACTTGCAGTAATTGCAGGCAGCTGGTCTTAATAACAGGGTGCTTTAGACCACTGTACTACCAAGGCTCATTGAAGTTTGGACCAGCCACAAAAATCTAGAAGTACTAAAGACCCCTGGGAAACTGTCCCCTAAGCAGGTCCAGTGGGCTCAGTACTTTAGCTGGTTCAATTTTATCCTGCGTTAGTTACTGGGGGGAGGGATTTCTAGCTGACACACTTGTGCCTGCTGCAATATAAGAGCATGAGAGAAGAGATAATTAATTCTATCATCACATTCAACCAACATGCAGTGCCAGTTCCTGTGAGGCAACCACAGAAGAGCTCCCGTTGGTTAGAAGATGCACTGACCCAGGAGCTGAAAAAAGCCTTGGGTGGGAGATGAGCAATTCCAAAACCATAAAACTGACTTAATCATAAAGCAAGATTTAGCATGGAAGAGGAGCAAAATATATGTCCCAGCCAACCAGAGAACTATAGTCCTACAAAGAAGCCATGACGCGAAGCCAGCAGGACATTTTGGGTTTATAAAAACCCTGCATCTCATAAAGAGGCAGTTTTGGAGACCCAAGATGAAGAAGGACATAGAAATCTATGGTGAGTTGCCCTTTATGCGCATCTATGAAGGATTATTACAACCAGTAGCCAACCCAACAATGCCGTGGGAGAAGATAGCCATGGATTTCATAGTGGAGCTTCCCAAAAGTGGTGGGAACACTGTAATTTGGACTGTTGTAGACCTGTTCTCAAAACAGGCACATTTCATACCATATCCTTCAGCCCCAGGTCTTAGCAAAAATGTCCATGCAACACACCTACAGGCTGCACAGGGTCCTAAAGCAAATTATCTCAGACTGAGGGGTACATTTCACTAAGTTCTGGTGGAAGTTTTTAAAGCTAATAGGTTCATCCCAAGGGCTTAGCTCTACCTTTCATCCTAGTACTAATGGGGCAGCAGAACAAGCTAACTCAATGATAGTACAATACCTGAGATACTATATAAGCTATCTGCAGACTAATTGGGCTGAACTGCTGACATTTACCAAAATGGCTTACAACAACTCAGTGCATAGCAGCACAGGATTTACTCCTTTTAAGGTGGCTACGGGGGTCGAATTCGTGACTATGACAGAGTTTCCCCAAGGGACCCTATCCTCTGCGACACTGGTGGAATGGAGGGACTCTTTCAGAGGCATGTGGGCTATAGTGTGTAAGGAACTAGGAAAATATTAAAGCAATTTCATTCCAAATACCCAATGCAACCAATGTGAGAAAATCTTGTACAGTGATTAATTGTTCATGCTTATGTATTCCAGTTGTATCTTTCTTTCAGGGGTGTCGGCATGTCAAGAGTGCTTGAATTATCTGGACTGTTCCCATAATAAAAGAAGTGGATTTAATTGGACAACACAATGAACTGAGGGGGGATGGCCAAAGGGAAAAGCAAGTTTAATTATGTGGGATTTTGCACAGGAAAACTAGAACTGGTTTTGCTTCCTCTGTGCCAATGTGTATTCAATAAAGTTTTACTTTTGGGAAGCACAATGTCCCAGGGTTTTTTTGGGCATTTTCTAGCTGGACATCTGACACAAGGGTTCCACTTACTCTTTTCTGTTGGTACTTTGTCCTAAACCCGTGATGGCGAACCTGTAGCACACGTGCCACAGGTGGCACATGTAGCCATATCAATAGGCATGCCAGCTCAGCTCTGGCGCGCATGCACGCGCCAGCCAATTGATTTTCGGGCCTTTCTAGGAGTCTCTGGAGGCTGGTGACAGCAAAAAAAATCACTTCCTGTCCCACCAGGAGTTGGAAAATGGGCCATTTCAGGCCTCTGGAGGGCCTCCGAGGGAGTGGGAAAGGCTGTTTTTGCCCTCCCCAGATGCACAGAGGATCTGGAGCCAGGTGAGAAAGAAAAACGGGCCTACCGGGCCATCGCGTGCCAGGAGCGGGGAGGGGGGTTGTGCATGCATGCGCAGGGCAGGGCACATAGAATTATGGGTGTAGGTATGTGTGTGCGCAAACCTCCCCCGCCCCCCTTCCTGGCACGTGATGGCAAAAAGGTTAGCCATCACTGCCCTAAACATTAAAATACAAAATAATATTCAAACTAGCATTAATATGGCTTAACAGAAAAAGTCAATTTTTTAATATCACATGTAAGATGCAGCATGCATATACTTAAGATACCTGAGGTATTCTTTCTTTGGAACGTATGTTTGCTTTGTGCTGTGCATTTTATAAATGTCCTATTTGTTTGAAATGCTGTGAATAATGTCACATTTTTCTCCAAACTTTCTTTCATTTAAATGTAATTATCTGCCTACTTACCAATTTACTCTGTGCATTAAAATTAGAGCAGTACTGACACCAATAACTTAGTGTAGTCCTCCAAGTAAAATAATACTTGGAGCCAGAAAATAATATTCATTAAAGACATTTTATTTGTATAACTATAAAAATATCTTGCCTATTAATCCTTTCATAATTTAAAGAACAAGGCAAATGGAAAACAACTTTTACTTTGAAACATTTTCTTTTTCAATACTATTTGGGCAGGGAATAGAGAATAGAGTTTATTGAAATCACAAGCAGCAATAGCTTTTCTGCTTGTATTATGTGGCAAATATGGTTTTATTTAATAACTGTGAAGTTTAAATGGAATGAATGAACTTAAAAGCAAGAAAGTACAGGAGAGCCTATGGAACAAGTCAGACTTGTTGATATGTTAGTTGTTTTCTGGATAGCTTTATAATGTGTGATAAAATGCAGAGTGCTAACTATTCTGAAGGAGTTGGAAGTGAGATGTGCATAATTTATGGCAGCTGTAATTGCCACTGAAAATTGGATTCCAGGGAAGCAATTCAACAGCTGAGTGCTAGTAATCTTAGGTAATTTAGTTCTGCTGAGTTAGCTTATTTCTTTTTTCTAAAAAAAAGGAATGTAAATTCTGCTAAAAATGAAAAGAAAAAAGTAAAAAGTAAAACAGACCTAGCATACCCTATAAATAAAAAAATAAATTAGCAGATGAAGAATTCTTACAAGGAAGTGAATGAATGAGTTATATGTCTGGCTTCTAATTTAGGTTCAGCTTTTCTTTGCTTGCCTGTCAGAGGAGAAGGTCCCATATGTTAACAGTCCTGGAGAAAAATATCGAATTAAGCAGCTTCTCTATCAGCTACCACCCCATGACAATGAGGTAGGTATAGATAATCATGTTTGCTCTGCTAAGATGAGGCAGAGGGACATATTACCTTTTTTGGGGAACAAATCTATGGTTTCTCAAATAGTCTGACAAGATGTAACTAATTACAGTGACTCATGCCATGATAACTTCCAGATTAAATACTGAAACATTATGTACTTTGAAAATCTCCAGTTGGTAAGTAATACAGTTTAGTAATTCTGACTGCACATTTCGTTTCATGCAAATGATCTTGACTGATTTCCAAAAGTCAAGCAGGATCATATCTAATTAGTTTTCGAATGAATTTTTTGAATTTCCGCCAGGAAATTCTAGGATTTTACTGTAAATTAGACTAGGAAGTTGAAAAAAATTGTATAAGATCACAAGGATACACCACTTCTATACTGTTGACAAAATACACATCCATCTGGTAAGCAGGAGTCAAGTCTCTTGAATGGAGGGCTTCTTACAGGAGCTCTATTTCTGGTGTGTTTCTGGGACTAATTCAGATTACTAGAACACAAGTGCAAAGGTTTGCTCTTCCACTTCATCCTGCCAAGGACTTTTGCTGTGTTAAAGGCCAAGGATGAAAGTATTTTTCTAGATAAATCTGTGGGCCATCAGTAATTTTTTCATTTGGTCATCTCCCAAATCTTTAAATTTCATAGCAGTTAATAATTAGTTTTTTTAAAAAAAATTGCTGCCAGCAATATGACTTATTGTATTATTTTAGTGTTTTTAAATGTTTGTAAACCCCCTTATTAATAAATAATAAAAATAAAGAAATAGAAAATGGAAAGGTTGTGAGGAAAGGTATACTCATCAGCATATAAAACAATATGTGCAAATTGCATCTATATTTAGCACCCTAAAACTCTTAAAGAACATTTTAAACTCATCCCCTTGTGCCTTATTTTTATGCTTTGCTTTCCACTTTGCAACATTAGAGTTCCAGTACTTTCCTACAGTAGCATCTGTTCTATGGAATAATGACTATTCACTGTTGTGTGAGGCACTTCTCCTAGTGTAATTTAGTGTGGGGTTTTTTAAAAGTATAATAACCCTGGTTTATAACTACTTTTTATCAGTATTTTTATTTTTTCCTGCTATTGGATGCATAAGTTTAAATCATCATGAGTGCCTGAATGATCCCTCCTAGACAAAATAGAAGTATCTAATAAGAGATACATCAGTTAGATGGTTTTAGAAAATAAAAAGCCTAGTGTTTATCATTATATATTCTGGATTGCAAGATGTAGGCATATATTTACCATATAGCTCAATTCTTTGAAAACTATTTGGAAAAAAATGCATCTAATTCACTAATACAATTAGATTCAAACAGCAAAGTTTAATTTGGACAGGCTGGGTTTAGAAAATGATTTTGTAATTAAAGCCATCAGTGATCTCATGCCTGCTGTGGATGGAAACTGCACCGAAACCCTATGGTGCCACTTCTCCTCTCTTCCTTCTCATAAAGCATGAAAGGAATAATCTGCTTCTCCATTCTATACTTGTATGCTATAGAAATTTATCTTATATCCATAAATTAGGAAAACCAAATGCAGAAAACCTTAAATCTTCAAAATATGCCAGAATCCAGGGTAGTAATGCATAGATAGCAATAACACTTCATCTCATTGTAGCAGCTCCAATTGTTGAGACAGATTATTACATTGTGGTGAAAGTATAAAAAGAAAATTAGCTGTGTATGCAATTCTTTTTTATGTCTAAATCTGACACAAATCTTTCAGTTTCCAAACAGGTATATGTATACCTATTCATGCATGTCAATTCCAAATAGAACTTGTGTAGATTCTAAACATGTTATTGGCTTTTGTTGAAGGTGCGATACTGCCAGTCTTTAAGTGAAGAAGAGAAGAAAGAACTTCAAATATTTAGTACACAACGTAAAAAAGCAGCACTGGGGCGAGGCTCAGTCAAATTACTCCCTAGAGCAATAATACATGCACTTTGTGAACAGGTAACATTGCTATTGTTAAAATAGAATTCTGTAATTCTGTGAAATTCAGGTACTGATGAACATGGAATAAAACACATTTAAATAAAACATGCGTTCAAGCCTTTTAGGTTGAAAACTGATCAAACAGCGTTTGTTGGCTTATAATACTGTGTTTTCCCGAAAATAAGACCCTGTCATATATTTTTTGAACCCCAAAATAAGCGCTTGGCCTTATTTTCGGGGAGGTCTTATTATTTTAGGGCATGTGGAGCAAGATGGGGCTCCTCTTGCCGTCTTACCTGATTTCCAGCTCTGTTGTTTAAATATTTTCGGGGAGGGCTTATTTTCGGGGGAGGCTTATTTTAGCGCATGTGCTCAAAAGCCCGATTGACATCCCCACATCAGGGGATGTCTTATTTTCAGGGAAACAGGATACCTATTTTGTGCTTTCCGATATAGTGATACGTATAAAATATTGATCAAGATAAATCTGATAAATAGCAAGGTAAATCATGGGGATAATAAAGATTTGATTAGAGGATGTTGATGAATCAGTATGCTTGCATACTTAACACAATGGAATGCTCAAAGGAAGTGTCTAAGAAATTATGTTACTGACAGTTAATATGAGTCAGTAACCTTGTACCAAGGAAGAGCATATAATAGTAGTGGCATGTGCCCATTTAGTGTCCTGGTTTGTTCTTTCCTCACAGAAGTGAGGTCCCATTGTTCTGACAAGTTGTATATGTATGAAAATTAAAATCCATGTGTGTAGGTTTATCTAGATGGATATATGGAAAAAAAAACTTAAACCCCTGTTTTTATTTCCAGTGTGGTATAAAAATAAATGGAGGTGAAGTTGCAGTATTTGCTTCAAGAGCTGGGCCTGGAGCATGCTGGCACCCATCCTGTTTTGTATGTTTTACATGCAGTGAACTTCTTGTTGACCTAATCTATTTCTTCCAAGATGGAAAAATTCATTGTGGTAGACACCATGCTGAACTGCTCAAGCCACGATGTTCAGCATGTGATGAGGTAAATCTCACATTCTCACGAACCTTAAGATGGAATTGAAATTAACATGGCATTTATTACCCAGGAACTTCTGAGTGTGATCTTCAAATTTTTCTTCTATAGCCTTCATAAATATTGGCATCTAATTGCAGAAATGTGGGAATAGTGGGAGATTTGACTGAATTTGTAAATTTTATAATACTTGGAACATTTGTTGGGTCTTATTTACAGAATTTTCTTGAAGACTCAAGCCCTTAAGTCAAACATTATATAATGAAATGGATGCAAAATTAGAATACACAATAGAAATGCAATAATGGGAATTGTAATAGAAGATCATTAAATTTACCCAGAACATTATACTCAGAGAAAATAATATGTTTGATCATTTATTTCAGTTTTTTTTATTGAAACGTTTTACAAAAAAAAAAAAGAATTCCCCCCCCAATATTCCCCCCACCCTTTCCCTCCCCCCCACCAGAGACTTCCCAGAGCAAAATACAGGGTATTTCAATTAACAATCATAAACTAAATTAACCTATCTATCCTCAGACTACCAAATCCCCCCTTGAAACCTTAACTCCACTATAGATAACATAATACTTCTAATACTTAACGTTCATTCATAAGCTATTTGATATTTTCTTGTCTGATACTTATTTTGAATATAATCAATCCATCTTCTCCATTCCGATCCGTATCTTTCTTGTGTATAGTCCTTCAAATACGCTGAGATTTTCGCCATTTCTGCTAAGTTCATTACTTTCAGTATCCACTCTTCAATAGTAGGCAAAAAGTCCTTCTTCCAGTATTGCGCTACCAACAGCCTTGCTGCTGCTATTAAGTTCAAAATCAATTTAGTCTCTAATACTGTACAATCCATCGTTATACCCAGTAAAACAATTGAGGAGTAAATTTCAACCTTTTTTTCAGAATGTTCTGCATCACCCACCAAATTTTTATCCAAAATGCCTTGATTTTCTTGCAAGTCCACCATATATGATAATAGGTTGCATCATCACATTCACATCTCTTGCAAATTCGGCTACATACATGATAATTTTTTAGGATCTAAGTGCCATCTATAAAACATTTTATAAAAGTTCTCTCTCAAATTTTGTGCTTGCGTAAATTTAACATTTCTGACCCAAATCTTTTCCCATGTTTCCATCATCACTGGTTCCTGAAAGTTTTGTGCCCATTTTATCATACAATCCTTAATCAATTCTGTTTCTGAATCTATTTCCAATGAAGCATTATACAACCTTTTAATATGCATCTGACTTTGATCTCTAATCTGTTTCACCAAATTTTCCTCATTTTGCATAACACCAATTTTTTGATCTTCCCTCCATCTAGCTTGAAGCTGACCATACTGAAACCATGTATAGATTATCCCTTCTTCTTTTAGTACATCTAAAGATTTCAGTTGCAAATTACCCCTTTCCAAAAGAAGAAGCTCTTTATAAGTAATCACCTCTGTTTTTTGCTCTATACTTACATTTTCTATTGCATGTCTAGAATTTGCCCATATGGGTATCTTATAGTTTAACTTATATTGATACTTTTTCCAAACCCTCAACAATGCATTTCTAAGTATATGACCCTTAAACACTTTATCCACTTTTTTTCATATAACAGATAAGCATGCCATCCATATAACAAATCATAGCCTTCTATATTTAACATTCTTTCTTCAGTTAAGTTAAACCAGTCGCTAATTTGTGATAAAACAGCCGCTTCATAATACAATCTTAAATTAGGCATTTTAAGACCTCCTCTCTCACGTACATCCTGTATAATTTTCAGTTTCACTCTTGGTTTCTTCCCACCCCAAATAAAAGTATTAACCCCTTTCTGCCATTCCAACAAGTTTCCGTCTTAAGCACTGGTATCATTTGAAACAAAAATAAGAACCTAGGTAAAACATTCATTTTTATTGCTGCTATCCTTCCCAGTAATGATAGTTGTAGCTTTTTCCAATTTTCCATTTCTTTCTGTACTTTTTGCCAAAGAACTTCATAATTGTTTTTAAACAATTTCATGTTTGAGCTGCAATATATATTCCTAAATACTTAGCCTTTTTAACTATTTCAAACCCCGTTATTCTCCCTAAATCTTCTCTTTGATTTATGGACATATTTTTAGTTATCATCTTTGTCTTGTGAAGATTTACTTTAAATCCAGATACTTTGCCATATTGAGCTACTATGTCCAGCATATAGGGAGCCGCTTCTATAGGTTGAGATAAAGTAAGAACCAAGTCATCTGCAAATGTCTATAATCCTGCTGTCCAATTACAATTCCTTTTATTTTATCAGATTCACGTAACTTGTTCAACAAAACTTCTAAGTTAAGATAAACAACAATGGCGACAAGGGACAACCCTGCCTTGTACCTTTCTCAATTTTAAAGACTTCTGTTAGGCCTCCATTAACTATTATTTGTGCTGTTTGCTCCTGATATATTGCTCTAATTGAATGTATAAAATACTCCCCAAAATGCATTTTTTCTATTATCTTAAACAAAAATTGCCAATTCAGTCGATCAAATGCTTTCTCTGCATCCAAAAATATGAACGCTGCAGGGACCTGGTTATTTTTTTCCAAATATTCCAATAAGTTAATAATTTGTCTAACATTATATTTCATTTGCCTCCCTTTTATAAAACCTGATTGATCATTATGAATTGTTTGTTGCATAACTGGCATTAATCTGTTCGCTAATATCTTAGCAAAAATTTTATAATCAGTGTTCAAAAGTGAAATTGGCCTAAAATTTTCAGGTTTGATAACAGTTTTGATCTTCCTTCGGAATCAATGAAACAAAAGCTGTTCTCCAAGAGGTTGGAACTCCTCCCCTTAATTGAATTTTACAAAATAAAGCTCTAAGCGGTTCTACCATTTCAAGCTGTAAATTCTTATAATAAACAGCTGTTAATCCATTTGTTCCCGGAGCTTTCCCTGTTTTTAACTGCTTAATTGCAGCAGTGATCTCCTCAGAAGTTATTGGTTGATTCAATCCTTCCCTCTGTTCCAATGTTAATTCCGGAATATTCCCTTCCTTTAAGTATCTATCTATATCTATACCTTGTATTGAGTCACTAGCATATAATTTTGTATAAAATTCTAAAAAAGCCTTTTTAATCATATTCTGTTGGTAAACTTCCTTACCTCTATATTCTGTTTTACCAATGACTCGTGATTTCTGTTTTTCCCTCAGCATGTAGGCCAACCACCTACCTGGTTTATTGGCATTACAAAATGTATTATGTTTAGCATATTGTAAGCTAGTTGCCACCTGATCAGCCATTAACATATTAAATTGCCCTCATAATATATTTATTGTTTCTTTTACCTTCTTATCTCCTGGATTAAGTATAAGTAATTCTTCTTTCTTTTTTATTTCTTCCTCTATCTCTTTCCGCTTCTTTTGTTGTTTTAGTCTATGTTTATTATTCATATGTATTAACGTACCCCTCATATAAGCCTTTCTAGCATCCCAAACCATTTCCATAGAGGTACCCTTGTTCATATTAATAGCAAAAAATTCTTTCATTTGTTTTTTAAGCTCTTTCACATTTTCTTCATATCTAAATAAATTTTCATTTAACCTCCAAGACCTCCTTTCTCCCCTCTCCTGTTCAAATTCGACCCAAACCGACTATGATCAGTTAAAATTCTTGGACATATCTTGGTCTTCTTCACCCTAGAAATAAAATCATTTGTGGTTAGTATAAAATCAATCCTGGAGAAGGATTGATGTCTTATCAGAAAAAAAGGTGAAGTCTTTCCTCCATATTGCGTTCTCTCCAAATATCTCTCAGTTCCATATCTTCCATCATATCAAAAAAAAGATTTAGGTAATTTTGCATGTGTTGAAATCTTGGATAAACTTTTTTTTTATCTCTCTGTGTATCTATTACTCCATTCCAGTCACCCATTAATATAAAAGATTTATAATCCCATTGTATTATTTTAGTGTGTAAAAATGTATAAAATTTGTCTTGTTGCTGATTAGGGGCATATATTCCAATTAAAAGCATTTTTCCAGTCTGTGTTAATAATTCAATTGCGATATATCTTCCTTGATCATCTGCCTCAATTAAATTAGCTGATAATCCTTTCTTTACATATATAACTAACCCATTTTTCTTCTCTGGCGCTGATGCCACAAAGTGTGTACCTAATCTTGAATTTATCAAATATTTTTGGTCTAATAACCTAATATGTGTTTCTTGCAGAGAAATAACATCATTGTTAAATTGTTTCAAGTAATGAAATACTTTCTTTCTTTTTTGTGGTGAATTTAAGCCATTAACATTCCAAGATAGAAATTTAGTTGCCATCTTTAGCTTTTCGAAGCCACATAAGCATCAGCTGAAGATCCTCCTCCACCTTACTCTTCAGCCTAGCTTCCCCCACTGCTTCTATTTTCTGAACTTCTTGAGATAGATCTTGAGATTGTTGCATTTTTAACTGTTGTTCTTGAAGTTTATAAGTTGATCGGGTCAGTCGTTGTGCTTTCGGTTCTCCCTTCTTGAGTGGTTCCAGAGTTGGGGGTAAGCCCCCAAGATCCAGATCTTCTTCCGTGATGATTCCTCCAGCTGCAACTTCAGCATAAGTTTGTATTTGCTTTCCATCTTTTTCTTGTTGTATCATCTCCATTTTCTTTCTGCTCCCCCTTGGTGAGGGTGGGTATCCAGCCTTTAAAACATTAACATAGAAATCTTTTGCCTTCCAGACTGTGTTTAACTGGTATCTTTCTCCATTATAAGTCACTATTAGACCAGTTGGAACGTCCCATCTGTATGCCACTTGTTGATTTCTCAGCTCATTTACCAAAAAGCCAAAGTCCTTTCTACTTCTCAACATCTTTGGAGGGATCTCTTTCAAAACCACCACTTCTTGCCCAGCCACCTGAACCTTATTCTTGTAGGAAGCTTGTAAAATATCATTTCTGATCCTCCTGGGTGTAAAATAAATCACCACATCTCTTGGTAGCTGTTTTTGTCTTGCCAAACTCTGTAGATTTTGTCTTGTTAACTCTGTAGATTTTATCAATTCGGCTTGCCACCTCTTCTGGTCTTTCTTTAATTATCTCTGCAATAACATCAGCACAAATATCCTTTAAATTTTCTTTGCTATTTTCTTTCAGGCCTCTCAATCTCAAAGCAAATTCCATGGACCTGTATTGTAACATTACCAATTCATCATCAACTTTGTCTGTTTTTGTCATGACATCTCCCATTTTGCTTTCCAAATTTAAATTGGCTTCATTAATTTCTTCCACTTTCTCATCCAACTGAATAACAAGTTTTGACAATCCTGATACTGCAAAAACAATATAATCTCTTATTTCATTGTGTTTTTTTGCAACCACTTCTTTAATTGATTTTATATCCTCCTCAACTTTCTTTAATTTCCCTTCCACAAGTACTGTTAAATTATTCATTGCTGTGGCTTGGTTATTCATAGCTTCTTTCATTGCTGTTGCTTGATTATTCATGGCTTCTTTCATAAACTCTTTAAAATCATTGAGAGCAACCTCCTGACTCTGTGAATCCGCCGGAAGTTGTGCTTTCTGTGTCACCACTGACACAACTGGGGAACCTCCCCCTCCTTTAACAACTCTTGGCTTAACTTGTTTAGAAGCCATCTTTTTTTCCTTTTTAAAAAAGATTTTTTCCCCCCCCAAAGCCACAAAGTCCCTTGAACAACTTTAAAGTGCTTGTAATTTATAGTCTCTAATTTATCAAGCAAAATAGTCTTTTCTCCACAAGTTCTCACTTCCCAGCAGCTTTAAAAGTTCTCAATAAGCACTTCCGTTTCTGACTTTCACTTTCAAAACCATAACAAAGATGCCATCTTCAGCCTCCAGCTCAAAGAAATTCAGTTTGAAACAAAGTAACTCCGGAGTTAAGCTCTGCTACTTTAAGGCTTGTTCTCCTGTTTCCGCTCTGCCTGCGCTTGTAATCAATCAAACTCACTTTTGACAGCAGGATGGTCGCGGCGTCTGGCTCTGTTTAAAACAGAGTTGCCTCGGATCCAGAGCTTCTTGGTGGGCTGGCCGGGGAGCTCTCACCCTCCAAGCCTCTGGAATTATTCCAGAGGACTTTCGGGGAGCTCTACTCGCACCCACCGGCTCTCCTCTCCTTCTTCTCCCGATGGAGAGGTTTTTCAGCCGCCAGACAGCCAATTAGCGCTGTCAAAGCGGCTTTTATGAGATCGCGGGGCTGGCGGTCTAAGGAGACCGTCCACGATGCCTGCGGTGCCAAGCGGAAGTCCCATTTATTTCAGTTTTGATGCTAAACAGGATAGTTTATCTTCAAAAAATTAGTGGAAGTCTAATGAGCAAATGTGGTCATTTGTTTCTCATATTTGGCATTAAGCTTTAATGCCATACAACTCAACAATTCTGTAAGAGGATTCAGAATGAAACAATTCTTAAAACCTTAAGATTCATTTTAGTCTAAACTATTCTTATTAAACTACCAAACTATTTATCTCCTCAAAATATATGTAGATTTTTATGATAATTGTTGCAAGGATATTATCTGTTTCTTATTGGAAATATCTGAATCTTCAATGGAAAAATGGTTAGCCAAGTTGTGGGAGTATACTTTGATACTAAAATAAGTTGGTACCTTAAAAGTAAATCAAACACAAATTTTAGCTCAAACAGGAAACTGTTTTTCAAGTAAAATACATGGATTGGGAGCATATCCAATATTTGGGCTTATCTCTGCATAGATGTTATGCTTCAAGATATTTAAATAATCAAAATAATTTATTTTTACTTATTTTATATCCCGGATTTATTATTACAAATAACTCAAGGCGGTGAACACATCCAACACATCCTCCTCCTTTTTCTGCACAGTAACAACCCTGTGAATGACTTTGGCTGAGAGTGACAGGCCCAAGGTTACTCAGCTGGCTTTTATAGTCAAGGCGAGACTTGAATTCACTGTCTCCTGCTTTCTAGCTGTGTCTTAATTACTAGACCAAACTGGCTTTCTAATTCGTCTCTTATGAAACCCGATTCTAATAATTCTTAGCAATATGCACTGAACCTAATATAATATATAATTTATATCGTATCGACTATGACCAGCATGGTGGCCTAGTGGTGAAGATTCTCACCTCCCACTCAGAAGGTTGAGAATTCAATTCTAGGTAGTGACAGATGTTTCTCTCTTAGAGCGCAAAGGAAAAATATCTGCTGCGAACTCCACATGGATGGCAGGAAGGGCATCCAGCCAGTAAACACTCAGCTCCAGTCAGTCGCCCATACTCTACCCTGAATAGGGATTATAGAGTTGTAAAAAGGGAAGTTTTTTTTAAAAATTGTCCATAGTTCTTGATATTCATTCATTGGCCATCACCTTTACCATTGGGTGATTGGAAAACCATTTATACTATTGAAGGAGTGTGACATAATTATTTCTCTCTTTTAACATACCTTGTCAGCATTTGTTTCCTAATTGCTACCTGCACTAAAAATTGCTGCTGCTCAAAGGGAAAAGTCTTGTCCACAGGTTCCCAATGCTGCTTCAATTGCTAAGTAGCTTGGAAGGAACAAATGTGAGTAAATTTGGATATAACTTATCATCTGATATCACACACACTCTTTGGACAAAAATGATTCCCCGTATCACTTAAAACTAAATTTTTATGCATTGATTTCTAGTAAAAGTAATAATTAAATTGAAGAAATGTTACTTGCAAGAATACTGTTGGGTTGTATATGGCAGATAAGTCTTATGTGTGAGTTTTGCCCCTGTCACTTTTAATTTTTTTAAAAAAGAAAATAAAGAAGAGGAAAGAGTTAAAATGGTAGACTATCAGTAAGTAGACAAAGAAGTAGAAGTGGTACACTAGTGATCAAGTATATTGTTAATATATTCTACTTATTAATTTTCATTAAGATATTTTCAACAAGGGAAATGATTTTAAGATCCTTTGGAATCTCTGAACTGAATACCTTATTTACACAGATAATCCTTGAATTATGACTATAATGGAGCTTGTTGTAAGTTATAACAGTTGTAAAATGGGTCATCACGTGACCAACCTGGTTTTGCAAATTTTTCGAAGTGGTTACGTGAATACAGTGGCCATAAAACAAATGCCATAGTCATTAAGCAAACGCTGTGATCATTAAGTAAACCCATTATTCAGTATAGCACATTATGACCAAAACCCGGAATTAAATGCCATTTTTGGCAAAACCATTGTAAAATAGTCACATGACCATAAGATGTTGCATACCAGCTATAAATGCGGACATATTGTGAGTACCTGAAGTGCAGTAATGTGACCATGGGGGAATTCTGACTGTTGGAACTTTGGAGCCAGGTTGCAAACCCCCTTTTCAGATAGGTTGTAATGTTGAATGGTCACTAAGCAACTGGTCGTAAATTGAGGACTACCAGTAATCTCTTTTATCTCCACTTTTTATTGTTTAAGGATAAGTCATTATCCCCCAAAAGAGTGAGAAATAACTGAAACTCCTAAAACCTAAACTATTTCCTCCCCACCTACCTTAGATCATTTTTGCTGATGAATGTACAGAAGCAGAAGGTCGTCATTGGCACATGAAACACTTCTGTTGCCTTGAGTGTGAAACCATCCTTGGAGGACAGAGGTATATTATGAAGGACGGATGCCCATTCTGCTGTGGCTGCTTTGAGTCCCTTTATGCAGAATATTGTGAGACTTGTGGGGAACGTATAGGTAAGCTTGCATCTTGACTGGCAAAAAATATTTGTTGAAGCTAGTTACAAAATCATGTTTTCAACCTGATGAACAAGTTAAATGACCTCCTTTTAAATGGCTGTCATGACTCAATTGATTGGCTTTTAGTTTATTTGTAGAACCTGAGGTCCTTAGGATTATGCCTATTATTTTAAAATTATTATCCAGATGAGAACATCATTTCAGGCCCACAGAGTTGTTTCCTGTTGCTGCTAACATTATCATACTTCCTTCAAGGAAAATAAGACTAATTCTGTAAATGCAGGCTATCAGCAAATTGTTTTAATAGACATTTTAGTATGGTGGTATAGTTTTTCATCTTTTTTACTATTCTTGCTATTGTTTTTAATTATTGTTGATAGTATAGTCATGATAGATGGTTAGCTATACAAATTGAATGAATGAATAAATAAAAATTAATTAATTCCATTCTAATTGGGCAGTCTTTTTTTAGCCATGCTATGTTAATGTAATTTGACTAATATACTATTCTGGTTCATGTCTATACTCAAAACTATTTATTAGATTATCTTTTATCTAGTTCTCTCTGAATATTAGTTACCTAAGGCTAAACATTAATCCTTTATTTTACTGTATTTTAAAAACAAATTGATAGATGAATATCTGTAGACTGCTTTACTTATTCATAATGGAAATAGAGCTTTATGCCATGGCATGTAGTTTAGTTTAGTTTTTTTGCACCAGTATAATGTAAATAGACTTAGTCTCAAGTCTCAGTAATTAACATATTAACTAAATTAAATAACATATTAATGTGTGTTAACAGGGGTTGATCACGCTCAAATGACTTACGATGGACAACACTGGCATGCTACAGAAACTTGCTTTTCTTGTGCTCATTGCAAAGTTTCACTACTTGGTTGCCCTTTTCTTCCCAAGCAAGGACAGATTTTTTGTTCTAAATCATGCAGTTTGGGAGAGGATGTTCATGCTTCAGATTCTTCTGATTCTGCTTTCCAGTATGCTCGCTCGAGAGACTCCAGAAGAAGCATTCATATGGGAAAAAGCAGTCAATCAGCAGATCAGTGCAGGCAATCTCTCCTGTTGTCTCCAGCAATGAATTACAAATTCCCTGGTCTTTCAAGCACAGAGGATGATACTCTTTCACAGAAACTGGATGACTTAAGTCTTTCAAGGCAAGAAGTAAATTTTTTTGACAAAGAACTCTGGAAAGTAAGGGGAGATGAAATGCCAGAAGAATGGGCTGAGCATGAAGATTATATGACTCAGCTGCTCCTCAAATTTGTTGATAAAAGTCTATTTCAACAGTCAGTGGAAGCCAATCCTAGATCAGATGATCAGTGGATTTGTGAAAAAGTGGTTAAAGGAAGATCAGAATTGAAGAAAAATAATCAAAGCCTAGCATGTAAGAAATACCAGGCAAATATGTATTGGGCACAATCCCAAGATGGCCTGGGTGATTCTGCATATGGTAGCCACCCAGGACTTGCTAGTAGTAGGAAAATCCAAGAATTAGACATGGAACATGACACAAGATACAAACATAACCAAAAGCAAAGGTATAATGATTCATTGGAATGTTCGTCAAATCTGAAACAAGAGCAGTGTGTTCGAGACTCAATGGATTTCCTTGCTTTATCTAACATCACAGGTAAAGCAGCTAAAAACTATGTTCAGGGCCTCAAGTATTTTATAGTGGAATTTAAGTGCTTATGAATTTATCTTTTGCTTATTTATCACCTTGTACAAGTTCCTGATTTAAGATCATTGGTGACCTTCAAAGTTACAATAGCAGTAAAAAAAAGTAATTTACACCCAGTTCTTGCATTTAACAACCATTGCAGTGTCCTGGCATTCATGTGATTAAAATTTGAGCACTTGGCAACCAGCATATATTTACTATGGTTGCAGCATCCTGGGGTCATGTGATGATTTGCAGCCTTCTCAGGGGCTTATGACAAAGTCAATGGAGGAAATCGAATTATTTGCATCAATTAATGACGTGGTTGTCCCAATTGTGGTTGTCAATAAGAACTACCTGTGAAAGAGTCATTTGAGATGGGCAGTATAGAAATTTGATAATTACAAAAATTAACAAAACCATGTTCTCCAACAGGTGTCAGAGTAAGATGGCAATGGAATAGAAGCTTCCCTCTTGAATCCCTTATGTGTGATTAGATCAATGAACATTTTTAGCTGGACACTTTATGGATATAATTGCTTTGAATTGGAAGTCAGATGGTCAGAATCCAAGAGTAACATTTTGTGCAGTTATCTGGAATATTTTTTTTAACCTATACCAGGGGTATCAAACTTGATTTCATTGAGGGCTGCATCAGGGTTTTGTTTGACCTCGAGGGGCTGGGGTGGAGGTGGGCATGGCCAGCTTGGCATTACTCATGTCGGGGCGCCTGAGTGCTCTGCCAGTGAAAACGGGCTCCCGAGCTCCTTTTTTGGCTGCGACGGCCTCCTGCAATCCTCTGCCAGTGAAAGCAGAGCTCAGGAGGGCCGCCTCCATTTTTACTGACAGAGGCACAGTGGGCCAGTCCTTCACTGTTTCCAGGGTGGCCCCATGGGCCGGATCTAAGCACCCCATGGGCCACATCTGGCCCCCAGGCCTTGAGTTTGACACCCCTGACCTATACTGTCAAGAAAGTGGACAGCGTCCTTTGTTATATCAGTTCTGCTACTTGGAGTCTCTTGGTCTTCATTGTTGGTTCAGGCTGTCAGGGAGGGGATAAGCAACTGAATCCTAGTGATAGTCAATACCCGGTAGTGGAAGGGAAATCATGCCTATGTTGAAAGAGGTGCTGTTTCCTTAAGAGACCTGCTTTGAAATCAGCAATTTCAAATATCACTAATAATCAAGTTATTTCAAAATTAACTTAAATTACATTTTTAGAATTTAACTGGATGAAATAAATTTTCCAACCAAAATTATTTTTTTCTTTTCATTCTTAGGTGCTTCAATTGATGAAATCAAACCAAGACCTTCTCTGTACTCCTTTGAAACCTACCAGGAGCTAGAGGGGGATGATTGTGAGAAAATGAGCAACATGGGAACTTTGAATTCATCAATGCTTCATAGAAGCACTGAGTCTTTGAAAAGTGTAAATTCTGAATTATGTCAGGCTGAGACGCTGCCAGAAGAAAAGTCAATGGATGTGCCAGTATTGAGAAAATCCAAATCACGGACTAGGCCTCAGCAAGTAAAATTTTCAGATGATGTCATTGATAATGGAAACTATGATAATCTTGATATTCATCAACCTCCTATGAGTGAAAGGACTCACAGACATGTTTATCAGTTTGAAGTCCATGGAAAGAAACATCATCGAAGGAGCAGAAAGTCTCGATCTGAGAATGCACTTCATCTGGTTGCAGAAAGAAAACCTTTTCCAAAAGAAAAGCTTAATTTTTATTCCCCCCAGTATTATGATGCATTTATTCAGAATAAAAATCCTCAGGCAGTTCGGGCATATACTCCCACTTTTTTCAGCCAATATAATCATATTGCACCTGACTATGCAATGGGGAAACCAAGAGATCAGTGTTTTGGATTTTTGGGTGAGGACGAAGAAGATTGGTGCTCATCTTCATCATCTTCAGATTCTGAAGAGGAAGGCTATTTCTTAGGACAACCCATTCCAAAGCCAAGATCTGTGAGATATCACTGCTATGAAGATTTTGTTTCTAGTCCAAGTGCTGAACTTCCTACTACCCAATTTAGACAGATAACAAAATCTGAAAAAAGGAAAGTGCACAAAGGCAAAAACTGTATAATTTCCTAAAATGTACTGCCTATAAACTTGGTGCCTACACTGTGTTTCAAATCTTTTGTATCTAAAGAATGTCAGCAAAGTCTGTAACATGGAAAAAATTTGTTTGTGTTCTTTGTCAAGGCTTTGAAAGCAGTTCAAGACACTACATCAAAAAAATAAAAATATGATATTGATTAGCTTGTTTAGAACTATTCTGGTTTGCATAGAACTTCAGATTCAGGGAAAATAAACATTAGAAATTGTCCCTCTGATTATATGAAGAGTATATGAATGCCAGGCTCGGGACAGTCTTCCTTGTATACATATCCATAAGGATATAATACTAAATCAGAGATGAGTCTGTACTTTGGATTTTATTGGATTCTTATTCCCATCAACTCTGTTAACATGGCTATAGGGATGATGGAAACTTTCCACACAGAGATGGGCAGTATGAAGAATTAGGATTTTATAGAGATCCTGGCCTAATTTCAGAAGTTTGTTTTGAAGGGACAAATGCAATATTTTATAAAAGGAATACATTTTCCAAAGGATCAATTCAAGCATCTGGCAAAAACAAGCTGTCCAACTGAATGTGTCTCTTCAAAAAGAAAAATGGTAGTCTTATTCATGGCATGAAACTTCAGAGAGGCTATTACTCTCTGAGGGAATATGACCATAGACTGTAACAATTGCGCATTTAATGTTATGTGCAAATAATTTGATTTTTGCATTTTCTTTATCTTATATATTTAATGTAACCTAACCATTTTGATACCAAGCAACAATTATCTGGTTCTGTGCTGGACATTAAATTGCTTATCAAATTGACACTTTTATCTTCATGGGAGTGAATCTCAGGCAAATTTTGCTTTATATAATCTTAATCTACAGTTTGTAAAAACTAAAGTGATGTGAGCTAATAATCCCTGTTTTCAAAATTAATAAGATGTTACTGAATTTGCTTAAAGTAAAAAAAAATTATGAAAACATGAGAATCCTTGATATTTGAAACAGTATCTCAAGTTTCAAATGTAATATGAGCAGCAATTAAGATTTAACAGATTGATAATGTATTTTACAGTTTCCTGTATTCATAACTTAACAGTGCAATTAATGTATATATTGTAAAATTAAGATTTATCTGACTATTTTTATATTCCTGAATTGCAAGGCATTTGTTTAAAATAGACAAATAATTTTGTTAAGAACATCATTGTTTAACATCAGTTTGGTTTAGGCAGGAGTTTGTTAAATATTCATACATTTATAGTGAAATGTTTAATTTTTTATAGTAAAGCTCTGTTTGCATGGTGGAGCTATGTAAATAATGTTTCAGCGATGGTTCACAATATTAAAGAATTATTTATGGGTCAATAAACTTTAAATTGTGTAAATTAAACAAGTAAAACTGGCATGTATAAATTGAACTAAACATACTTTAAGCTAAATTTCAATGCTAGGTTCTAAACCTAAAATAGATAACATTGCTTTGTTAATTGTGATTTGTTCAGGAGACATTGTTATATCCTGCTCGGTTAAGTAGCAATACATAAAAGCTGATGAGCATTCTGAAGAGTGAATTAATCTCACCTTACCTTGATAGATTATTAAATCGCCCAATATAATTCTTCTAACAACCAAAAAAGTAAATGTTTTTACAATCAGCCGAATGTTATTTCTAAGATCAACTAAATAAAATTATACCATGCTTTCTACTAAGAATGGTTAATGGTCCACTGAATTCAAATCTACATTTGTAGCTTCTTTGCTTAGTGTGATATGGATTTACTTAAGATACATTAAATAAATGTATCTTAAGTAGTCTCAGGTTCCATCAGCATGCAAGTGATATAATTTTCTACTGGCTTTTGCTGAATTTTATTTACTAGTCAGTGAGATCAATTCTTTAATTCAGTTTCTAATATCTGCCTTTTCTGTAATTGTAATTTTTCACAATTTATAAATTTGGTTTATTTTCATATTTTTCTCAATATCTGTGTATAGGTTAGAACATTGAAATGTAATACAGTACGTTCTAGCAGCTTTCACAGTCCCTTTCACTGGTCATAGTAGCTGAGGCAAACTGAGGGACAGAATGAAGTGTTCAGAAGCATATCTGTATGTTTATTCATTTTTATGGGTTTAAACAACAAACATAAACCACCATGTTTCACTCCATTCCAATGAATACAAGAAGCATTGCTTCCAAATCATCTATCTGTTTAAACAGAGAAAACTGTTACTGTTTGTTACTTTAGGATTAAATAATCTTACACCTAACCATGGGTAAACAACACTTGAATTTACAGGACCAAAATTGTTCTGTATATTACATGTGGAAAGTACACTTGAACAGTGACAACTGTAATAAATAATCCTGTTGCCCATGAGGCAGTTAATCGTTTTATCAAGTATGATATGTGAATGTAACCAACCTTGTTGCAATTCTGGGAAGCTTACTTCTACCCCACAATTATGGGAAGTATCTTGTCTGAATTACTGTACCATTTGTGAAATGATGAATTACACACTTCTCATACTTTGAAAACACTTGTGCTGCCTTCACCAGACCCATTTCTAAAAATAATATCCCATAGTATAGTGGAAATTACAGAAACTGCAGAAGAGAATAAGAATATATATTTTCCATTACTATTAAAGACAAATATTGTTTATACAACTGTACAAAGCTTTCAAAAAAATGCAAATTTTGATATTAACTCTGAAGGAGTTTAATTACTATTTAAACTAGGCTATTTGAACTTACAAAACCACTAAGCTTAAACAAATAGCTTAATGGAACTGTCCTAACAATGGTTTCCAATCAAAGTTTATATAACTACTCTAATTAAGGGCAACACATATTTAAAATTTATATAAATACAGATGCACATTTATTTTATATACATTCATCAATATCAATAAAATTACAAAATGGTCTGTCATACTCAGCAACCTATTTCAATAATTGGAGCAGCTTTTTGTTAAGGATTTTCAAAATATGGCTGACATGAACTGAACTTTATATATTCAATATATTTTCCAAACGGAATCAACTAAGTAAATGATATTGTTGTTTTGCAATTAATTCAAATTTATGAAGAGATCAAATGCAAAGTGAACAAATTTAGAAGATTAGCATCCATGAATCAGGTAGCCTTTATATATATGAGCAACCCATAATTCATCTTACGTTTCTTCAAATTCTTGACTCGTAGAATCATATTCTGCAATGAAGTGTTTAAGTTCTTCAACACATCGCTCACCAATCTCATGCAAATTTTGTCTCAAAGAAAACTGAATAGATTTTTCTAATGCAGGGTCTTTTTCAATCAGCATCTTCACCACAGCACCAAAAGTTTCACAATCCTGTCGGTATACCTAAAAAATCAGTTTTAGAAATGCATGCAATGAAGTACATTATAGTATCTATCCCAAACTGAACTAAAGCTAGATTTATAGATCTTATCAAAAATGGTATAAGTTTATATTTCTATTTTCTGGAATGAAGAAAAATGTATTTTTGTGCAGGAGATGGAGTGGTAGAACCTGGGGATGGAAATAAAAGACGGAACATCCTAGATTCCCCACATAGCAACAAGCAAACTAAGTGCAACTCTCCCTTGAATTCTATTGACAACTATTAGCTGAGAAGATTCCTGTTCATAGGCTGTTTAGTAATAAACCATTTTAATTAGATCTTCACTTGTGGACCTGGTTTTTGTGTCTCTCATTATGCATGTTTTCTAAGATTTCAAACAAGTGTTAATATATTTAAAATTTAATAGCTGGAGTAGTGAAGGGTTGGACAATGAGTAAGAACACACTTACAGCTAATTGGTTAAAGAGAGCTGGCCACTGCATGAGGGAATTTCAGTTGTAATTAGTTGCTGTGAGAGTAAAGGAGGAGTTTTGTTTTTTCTCGCCTTTTGCCCTATATGCTCTGTGATTTACCTGATGTTCCTGCTGTGTTGATTTACCTAACGATGCTGCTGTTTGCCTCTCTTTTTTACTGTAAATATATTTATTTACCATATTTTTCGCACTATAAGATGCACTGGACCATAAGACGCACATTAGCTTTAGAGGAGGAAAAAAGAAAAAAAAATCCCTGCCTCTGCCTCCCAGCATCCATCTGGTATTCATCTGGCTAGCGTCCTAACAGCAAACAGCCTGTCTACTCAGTGTCAGCTGCCTCCGTCGGAGAAAGCTGGAGCTTTTGCTGCCGAGCAGCTGATTGGCGGTTGGATTGGCCTCCCGGAATACCGCCGATCAGCTGTTCTAGGCGGCGGGGATCACCACCACTGATCGCCACCGCCGCCAATCACCGCTGCCTATTTCCACCACCTCTGTTGTGGTGGCGATTGGCAGTGGTGGCGAACCGCAGCGATCCCTGCCACCTAGAACAGCTGATGGGCAGTATTCCAGGAGACTGATCCAACCATCGATCAGCTGCTCGGCAGCAAAGGCTTCAGTGTTCCCCGGCGGGGCAAACAGCAGCAGTGGTGACAGGTGGCGGCAAACGCTGCCGCACCAACCCCTTCCCCCGCCGCAATATTCACCCTATAAGACACAGACATTTCCATCCACTTTTTTACTGGGGGGGAGGGGAGAGTGCGTCTTATAGTGTGAAAAATACAGTATATAAAATCACAAATTCTTGTCAGCATCTCTGACTCCATTTGGACACCGGCTATGCAATTCCCTGACAAGAAATTGAAAAATTCTTCTATTTACTAATATTAAACATAAAGCAGTTGATCTCAATTATCAAAGTGCCAAGTAAGCATGCATAGGATTCTGATTCATAATGTAGTGGCATGTATTGTGTTGGGTTTATCCATGTTAGCTCCTCTGTTAGGTGAGGTGCACTGGCTTGCAGTTTCTTTTGGGATGCAAAATGCTGGTCATCATATACAGTCTTGAATGTCACAGAGCCAGGTTATTTCCAGAATGTCACAGAGCCAAGTTATTTACTGCCTTTCCTAAGGACATCTACCCATTCTAACAGATCATATACGGTGAACATGCTATGAATCCTTTCCTTTAACCATTACCATCTTATGGGAGTTAAGCAGCATGCCTGTCAGGTCCCACAGATTCCTATAGGGACGCTGTCATTCTGGTGGGAGGGTGAAGGCTTAGAGGGATCTCTGTATGGGGTTTCTGTTTCTATTTCTTGCTTTGCTTTGCTGTAACTTTCAGGACCTTGGGAGTGGAAAAGGAATGTGCCTCGAGTAGCTGCCTTATCTCTTCTCTGGAGATAAGGCAGTTTCCTTGGAGACCAGCGTTTATCACCTTCTCGGTCTGAGTTTCCCATAACATCTTCACACACCAGAATTGGCTTGATGATGTATTGGACTTTGGGAGGGGCTCTGTCTGCAATGGTGTAATATAACGTTTCAAACGGGAAAAGTTACTTCCTGCCTACATCTCTTGCTGTCACAATCTTCCAATAAAAGTTTCCTTTTGAAATGGCTTTCTTTTCAAGAGTTCTGCTTTCTTGAGAAGACTGGTGAGGCAGGACCTTATAGTGCCTTTTCCATGGCCATCCCTGCTTTGCAGAACACTCTTCCCCCCTGAAATTTGGCAGGCCTCTACCCTCCTAGCCTTCTGAATTGCACTGAAGACCTGGTTTTCCCCCCAAGTGCTGGGATAGGATGACGTGATTGCATGTTGGAAGCTAGACATAGTGCCAGGGGGTTTTGTTTGTTTTTCATGTTTATGGTTTTAAGAATTTTAATGCAGTTTTTATGTTATTTTAATTCTTGATTGAGGGCCACTCAGAGTTTGGTTGGAGATGGGTAGCTATATAAATATTTTAAATAAATATGTAAACTTTCTCAGAGATGCCAATTAATTCAGAATCCCAACATTCACCAAAATAATACAAAAGGGGACAATGGCACAGATGGGGAATCTATCTGATATACAAGAACATTTTTTGAAAGAGTTACATAGAATTCTTGTGTAAAATAGATCATGATCAAGAGTTATTATTTTTATTCCATTTTGAATGGGAGGAGAGATGAGTGAGGTTTGTAAATAATAGAAAGCAGATAGAGAAACCCATGTATAGGACCATTTATTAAAAATTCTAATTTTAAACCTGAAATAATAATACAGATAGTCCTTAATTTACAACAGTTCACTTAGTGACCATTCAAAGTCACAAAAGCACTGGAAAAAGTGATTTATGACCGTTTTTCACAATTACAACATTGCAGCATTCAACAAGGCAATGATCACTACAATGTTTCCTTTACAACACGGGTGTCAAACTCGCGGCATCATGTGACATATCGCGTCGTTTTTCCCTTCATGGAGCTGGGATGGGCGTGGCCTGCACGTGATGCATCCAGCTGACGGGCCGCAAGTTTGACACCCCTGCTCTACAATAAAAAGAAGCATTCATGAATAGACAGATATGCTGTATATTCTAAAACGTAATCTTGGCATTTAATTATTCTAATTCTACTTATGGAGCTGCATTTTGTAAAGTAACAAAATGGTATCCTGTTAGCCTTGGAAGCCATATTAGGCCAGAAGCTTCAATGCTGCCACCTCCTCGTGTGTGGGAAAGTAGTGGGGGGGGATTTAGGAGAGGGGAATTAGTAGACATAATAGCATTCTTCCTATCGGTCAAGGTCAGGGCATTCTAGCATCTGGAGGAGGAGTGGTCAGGGGCTGAGTCGAGGTGGAACGGATGTTGATTGGAGCAT